TGGTTGCAAAAGAGGACTATGCGAAGTCAGTGCGGGTGATTGCAGATGGACTTGGAGGAGGTTCAAGTGCAGTGACAACAGCAAAGAAGTGCATGCGTGTGCTTATTGCAACTCAGATGGCAACAGGCGCCTTGGGTCAGGACCAAGCTACGGTGTGTGCAGCAGATGGTGCATTTGCTGACAGTGTGCAACAGCAGAATCAAAGCAGTGGCAGCATGATGCTTTTCTTGTTTATTCTCATATGCGTATTTGCAATTTGCATGTATGGTGGATATATTTTGCAGAAGCGGTTGAATTTCCTTGCAGCAGATGTGATGAATTTGCAATGTGCTTTGAGCATTTTCGAGATGAGATTTTCAGATGTGGAGCAGAGAATTGCGAATGCAGCATGCGATGACAGCCTTGTACGCTTTCATCCCAACATTTGGCTGGTGATGAAGGAGAGAGAACGTGAGCAGAGAGGTAATGGAGAAACTTCCGAAGTGACGGAACCCTGGGACGCAGATTTCGACCGGTTTGATGTGGAGCCGGAGGAGCTTTTCAATGACGCCAACTCTGATACAGCAAGACTGGCATGGGACGCATACGAAGCTGGATGCAGCACAGTGCGGCAATTCCTTAACACCATGCCAGATTCCGACAAGACAGATTCCGATGTAGACTTGTGAGAAATGAAGCCCGGTTTACGGTGAATGTGCACCAAAGGGCATGGACGTGAATTCGTGCAGAGATGTGACATTGTTTGCAGAGACCTTGGAGGTTTGTGCACATGTTTTCCATTTGAGTGCAGACTCAATTGAACAGTCACATAGGTAGCTTTTGCTTTGAGTTTTCCGTGAGAGCCAGACATTTTTTAGGTGATTGGCTTTGGAAACTAGACATTTTCCTGCAGCCAAGGCGGGGTGCTAAATAGTAAACGGCTTTTACTTGGTTAAGCTTTGATAGAGACAAGCCTTGTACAGTGCATGAGTTGTCATGTTGGCTTGCTTTTGGTCATGAAACCCGGACGTCTTTCATAGGCGCTTAGTGCTCAAGCTGTGTGATGGAAAACAGAGTGCGTCTCACTTTGCTTTTCTTTGGGATTATTTGGATGTACGCAAACGCGGATGGAATGCCTTCATATCGATTCGCAGAGCAAGCATGGCCCCAACAACAAGTTCGCGGTGCTCTTCCACTTCGAACCCCGCAGAACTATGCCTGCCAACCCTCGTGCTCAACACGGACGTCCGGGCGGTGATCAACATTCTTAAGAACGAAGAGTTGATCCGACCTTCAAAATGGTGTGATGCACCACCCACTACCGGAAACGCATTGTGCCAACTGGTCCTCGGTTTGGCTCCCGCACTGGTTTCTACTGCCGGGGAAGCTTTGACTCATCGCTACACGCGACTCAATCTGCTGCACGTCATGGAGGCATTACTTCCAGCCGGCCATGGTGCATTGGCGGAACTTCCATGATTCGCCAGCAGCACGTTTTGGTCTCCAGAGGCGGTGTCCTTGCCGACACCGCTGCTGCACACTTCCATGACCTCGTGCGCAGCAGGGAAGGGCGGTGGAAGCTTCGGAGCACGTTGGCTGCTCCCGCGTACGTGGCCATCTTTTGGTAGCGATGTTCTCAATGACCTCATTCAGCTCTTCCACCTCTTGAACGGTAGCGCGGCAGTGCTTTGTACAATCAGCTCTCTTTCATGACACTTCAGTTGTGACGTTGCTGAGGCTTCCGAACCGGTGTGCTTGTGGTCGCTGTGCAGGTTTTGGTTGTGCGCATTCATGGTTTTGCCTGATTGGTTGTTCTTGCGTTTCCATATTACATATGCTGATGCTACTCCGCAGCTGCTTGGCTAATTCTTAGATACCTGGACCCGTTCACATCGACATGGACCATGGTGATCTACTTCGGGAATGCCGAGCGCAACTGTCGTCTCGGACATCTCAGATCAGCATAATCTTGGACGGACAACGTCGCCTCGAGACCTCGGCTCAGACACGGATTCTTCGACAACCCGCCAACCCGCCTCCTCCTCATTTGCCTCGTGCTCCTCCACCTATGACGCAGAACCCGCCACCTCTTCTACACGTACCACCCCATGCAGCACCTTCAGAACCACCACCACCACCTCCACCTCCTGAACCACTACCTCCTCCTGCTTCAATATCCACAGCCAAGGCCCACTCTTCACACGCCACCAAGGCAAATCCCCCGATGACTACGTTTACAGCTGCGCTGACTCCGCATATGCGCAACCCCATCGAGGCAATCACCAGATGCATCACGTGAAAGGAATCGCAGGGGACGCTCTCGCAGAGGCCAGCGATCAAGATCCAGACGCAGGCATTCAACTCCCTTTGTGCCCAAAAGCGGCCCGCCCAAGATTCAGGCGATGCCTGCCTGCCGATCTTCAGGGTTAGCTCGTGGACGATGATCGCATGGCTTGTGGAAAATGATTCCTGGTTTGCGCAGTGTAGTTGCTTTTCTTGCTTGACCGATGCCCCTTGTTTGCCATTTCGTGCTGGATTTGATAGTGAGTTTCTTTGTATCCGTCATGTACCTGTCTGATGTGTTTGTAGCTGATCTCCTGGCGACGTTGCAGACGCTGGTGTCATTGGTGACCGTTGCCATCAACTCGCTGCAGTATGCCATGGCCTCGCGGAGTACCAACGCATCCAGCACAAACATCATTGACAGCTTGCCACCTCCACGCAACTCTCGCCATGGCACTCGTCTACGCTTGGTGGCGGACTCGCCGTCCCCTCATGCAGAACGTGTACGATCACGTACTCCTGGGACGGTTAATGATCCCATCCCACATCACGCGCATCGCGAATGGAAGCGTGAACCGCCTGATGATGGCCACAGTGAACGGCAACCAGTATGGCCTCGACGAGATTGGACCACTGGCCGGATTGCTCCTCCTCAAACAGAACATCAACATCGAGGACACACCGCTTGGTCCTCTCCTTCGGCTGACGTTGCCACAATCTGGACAACGTCTCGCACGAAGCTGCGGCGGTCATTTTGAACCTGATCCACGCTAATCCCTCCGCTGCAGTGACGCATGTGCGCATGTGCGTGCGTGCGTGCGTGCGTGCGTGCGTGCGGGCGGGCGGCGGGCGGGCGGGCGGGCGGCGTGCGCGCGCGCGCTCTCGGCGCGCGTCGCGCGTCGTGCGGGTGTGTGGCGCGTGCGTGCGTGCGTGCGTGCGCGTGCGCGCGCGTGTGTTTTTTCCTTCTATCTTTGTGTATGTGCGTGTTTAAGTGCTCAGCAAGGGGGGACCTGCGGACATTCGCTTCTTCTTGGCAGGTTTACCAACAGGGGCAGCGATCGTGTGCACATGAATGGTGCTGGCGCGGGCTGTGGTCAGGCACATTGTCACATCGTCATACTAGTGTCTTCTTCTGGTGGTAGCGCGGCTGGAGTTCGGGCTTTGTCCAAAAGAGGAGGAAGTATTGGCATGGGTCGGAGAAGGTGACCCGTGGAGCTGTCGGGCGCAAAGGCTTTCTTTTGAAGCAGAGCGCTGGGAACGGACGAACGTGGCGTGGAATGCATTAAGCTGTGAAGCTATGGAGGCATCGAGGCCTTGCAGAATGAGAACGGCAGCCTTGGCTGTTATGGCTGGAGGGTAGTTGGGGCATCAAACACGCGCAGAGCAGAGGGACAGAGCACTTGAGCTCAAAAGGCCACAGGGCAACTTGCAGAACGCATTTGCTGCGAGCTTTTGGCTTGAGCGCGAACAGCCTTGAGCGGAGACGCTGATGCTAAGCTTTAGAACAGCTTGGAAAGCTGCGCTCTCTCCCCCTACGAACGGACGACCACGCTTTCATGTTAGGTGCATGGGTCAATGGGATGCAATTGGCATGAACCATCATGAACCACAGCGCTTCAACTAACTCGGCTGGCCGAAAAGCAGACTCTGTGGAGCCAAGCTTCAGCTTGTGGCTGAGCTCGTGGCATCGTGCTGAGCCGCGAAAACACGACAGAAGGCGGCCACCTCTGACAATGTGTCCTGACGGTTCCGCGAATGCGTGTGATGTTGTGGAGGACTAGCTATCCACGCATTATATGAGGGAAGCGAAGAATAATTCCTTTGCAACAGCAGAGGGCAGCAACACAGCTTTCTAGACGTCAGCCTCGCACACAGATCAAGGCAGTTATTCTGGGCAAGAGAGCGTGAACACACACGCAGCACTCCCAAAATCTCTTCGGCCGCCCTCTATATTCTTGACGTGGCTTTGGGTAGGCCACTTTAACACCAGGTTCAGATTGTAATGCGCTTCAGCCTTTCCAGATATCTGCGTAGTAGCCATTTGCTGGGTCGCTATAAAATAAATGGGCTGCCGTTGCAAGCCACAAACGCAATTGTACTTTGGTAGTGTTGTCAAAACTGGCCGAATAAACGCTTAGGATAGTTTGAGAGCCGCTGCAAACGGCTTTTGTCTGGAAACCCCTGCTGGGACGCTTGCCTGGCATCTAAGTCTAACTGCACGTGCCAACTCGCCTGACAACAAGCATGCGCTGGCCCAAGCATTCTTTGGAACTGCCAGGACCGATGCGGTTGCAGTTCTTTCTACTCAATATACATGCGGGGCGGGACTGTACAGCTGCGTGTTCACCCAGAAGCACACTATGTCTACCGATAGCTGGATAAACATCTCGCGACTGGATATGGCGGCAACATTTGCCAACTGAGTTTTGTGCCAAAGAATACACCAAGCTGGGTGCAGCCAACCCTCACGCCTTTACAGCCTCCGAAGAAGCTGATTTTACTGCATGTTTGCCTCCGACCAGGGCAAGTACAGTTGGAGCATCGCAGCATGATGTGACTGCCAGGAACTTTGCTTTCCTGTCGATATGGAAACCTGGACACGAACATTCAAGCCTTGTACATTACAATCTTTGTGAAAAGGAAAGACACATACTGTAAAATACTCGTATATATAAATGACATCATGAACTCAGAACATGGGGCACAGAGTGCACTTTGGATATGTAAGTCTGGCGCAGGCTACACGACTGTGATGCTGCGGCTCCTTGGCCCTAACTTGAGCGCTTGGAAAGCCTGCCAAGTGAGACTTGGTGGATGGCTTGGCAAGCTGAGGAACATTCCAAACCGTTATACTCGAGACATGCTCATCAGTCGTCTTGACAAGGGCTATGAGGTGTCTTGACAACGCCTTTTCAACCTCACAAACCATGACTTTGCACGATCCGCATGACTTTGATTTGCTGTGCTGGCAGGGCGAGTACGACTTCGTGTATCTGCCCATTGACTTCAGCAGCAGATGCAATGTGGGCTATGCCTTCATCAACTTCAGGACTCCACCAGCTGCCCAGCGGTACTCGCCTCAAGCGTTTCGCGATTGTTGCAACGTGTTGCCAAAGGACTTGAAAGGGATTCGGGCTTCCGCTCAGCTGAGGTTCATTTCGGAGTTTCATGGAGCAAAAACCAAGCTTGGCTCCCAGGAGGTTGGTTGTGCTGGCTCCGCGCGATACAGAGAGAGAGAGAGAGAGAGAGACAGAGAGAGAGACGGAAAACAAGTTAGAGATGAAGCTGCTGTGGTTCCCGCATGAGGCATTGTCTGCCTGGTTTCGGCAGTGCCAAAATTGCAGAGGCAAGCAGCAAGGGTTGTTTGCTGTATCCCAGGAAGGCAAAAGATATTGCAGGGACGTACCAAGAGTTTGCACGCCCACGGCCAGGTCTCGTATGCACGAGTGCAGGGACGAGAGCAGAACATGGATAATCTTCGAGATGAGAAGTTTATCGAGAAGCTGAACGACAGGTCAGTGTATATATTGTTTATAGTGCCAATATTGCCAATAAGTATGATTGTAGCATTGACTCTGGCTGAGAGACGGGGATTTATCTATTCTGATGTTTGGCGTCATATTTCGTATGCTCACACGCTGCTTTGAAGGCCAGACTGGCAGCCTCTCTTTCTGGATGATGCGGGCAAGGAGCCTCTTAGCCCGAAATGCATGTCAGACAATGACCGCCTGCAGGAAATTCCATTCAGCAAGGCATTTGGAGGCAGGACGTACTAGCGAAATCGCTCTAAAGGTGCCGCACTCACAGATCCTTCCGTTGCACGACTCCTCGCAACGTGATCTACATGTTCACAGTTTTTAAACGGATAGGATGGGTTGGATGGGTTTTTGTTTGGCCCAGAGGGCTCAGGCTCGGTTCAGGATTTGTATAGGGTCTTTTTAAGGCTGGTTAAGGGCCACGAGATTTCGGCTTGGTTTGAGGTGGGAGCGGGAGGGGCACGTTAGGGATTGTTTCGGGCAGGTCAAAGGGTCGCTTTGGCTTCGTTTGGATCCGGTTGAGAGAACGGGTCCTGAGTTGTGGCTGGCCTTGGGCCGGCGGTTGGTTGGATTTTGATATGGGTTAGGCTCGACTTTTGGCTTGCGGTTGAGTGCAACTTGGATTTATAGCTTTTGAGTTTGTTTGCTTGTTTGTTTGGTTATTTATTGTTTATTGGTTAATCCTTTGCGTATCTATGTGTATCGTTTTGGTGTGTGGTCATGGGCTGGTTTAATCAGTTTTGGGTTGCCTTGGACGCCAGGTTGTGTAAGGGGAGGTTTGAGAACGATCAGGCGTGCTTTGTGCTGTTCAGGGAATCTTCAGGATCTTTTTTGAGGTGGGCGATGGGTTGCAATCAAATTGGGAATCATCTCCCCTTCTTTATGAGAAATACACAAAGAATCTTGCTGGAGGTGAAAGAAAGCGAAGCAAAAAGGCTGCCACGGCCGCAGGTGGCTTTCACTGCATTGGTTCATGCGGAAAGACCGAGGCGACTCCGAATTACATCCCTCCGACAACACCAACAGGCCCCTTTTGTGCTGCCTTGCCACAAGTCAATGCTGGTGCCGCATAGGCTTCATGAGACCTCCGCCGTACTTCCCTGTGTACCCATCATTTGGCGCCGTCCCGCCAGCTGGTTACTCAGCCGTGTTGCTTCCTGCTTGCGGTTCAGTGTTTCTTATTTCTGTTTGGCCATGATCTCCTGTAGCATTGACAGGAACATAAACTCAGCAAGTCTGCCGAGGCCCCGCCAACCACGCTTGCATCAGTGTTGCCGTCCGCTTCAAAAGAAACTCTGCTTATGCTCAGGTCTGGGACTTGGTTTGCAAAGCTTGCGTGGCACATTTGGGCAGCAAAATTTGACTATCCAGGGGAGTTCCATTGGCGTACACCCGTCAGCAGCTTCTCGATAAATTGAAGAGGCCTGGAGCATTTTGTGCGGCAGATTCCGCCTTATGACCGCTTGTGCTGGAGCTCATTACAGCATGCTAGTGTTCGCAGCACGGGTAAGTCAGCATCTCATACTCAAGTCTCGATGGTTTTGAAGTTTTGGCTCTTGTGTATGCTTGTTGCTTGTGCAAGCTGCTGCATGTGCATCCCGTGCAGCAAATATGATGCGGCCTTCAATTTCCTGTACTTGCCAAACAAGACTGAGCCCAAAGGCGCGTTTTCTTGTGTGATCTACATCAGCTTCCCATGCAGCAAGGCAAGCCCTTGCAGGCAATCGTGGCTTTGCCTTCATTAACTTCAACGATGCACAAAAAGCAAAAGACTTTACGGAGGACACACGACCTTTTCTCAGGACTTGCATGGCCAAACCTTTTGATGCCCTAGGATTTTGCAGGCAAGACCATGAAGGACTGCTTCCAAGTTGAGGGAGAGGAGGACAAGGCGCCGTGCCACGAGCTCGCCAAGTCGTGGCTGGAGTTTCCCGCAAGTTGTGCAGAGTTCCCGCTTCACATCGCAATGTCTGGCACTCCTTTGGTTCAGGGTGTCACAGTTTGTTTAATCCCAGCATCAAATAACCCAGCTCTACTATCGGCGGTTCGGTTCGATCAGGTTCGTATTTCCGCGTGCAGTGGTTCGATCGATTATTTGGTGATTCTTCCCGGTTCTTCGAAGGTAAGGCACATCCAAGGCCATGTGCTTGTGTGCCGGAAGAATGCTGGAGTGCAGTTTGCATCAACTCAAAGTTACTTTAGGGAAGTTTGTTTAATTTGCCAGTCCATGCCACTTTAAACCGCGTGGAGTGGCATGGAGTGGCACAAAGTGGCACGAAGTGGCAAGGAGTGGCATGGAGTGGCATGGAGTGTCATAGACTATGGAGCAGATCATACTCACGGGTTATGAACTTGTGGACAATATAAAGGTTACTGCAAGTGTGTTAATACTGTAATCCCACTTTCAATAGATATCATAAGCGAACAAAATGAGACAGTCTTAAAGCTGGACAAACCCATGTCGTTGGAATGACCGTCCTTGATAAAGGCAAATTGCCTCCCAGTACGTACCTAGATGTTTTAAAGGACAAAACCTTATGAACATATCAAGCCTTTACTTCTGCACAGACACCAGCAGTTGTGTAATACACTGCCACTTATGAGGAAGTGCTTATTCATCGGGACACTAGCTGCGATCAAACAATTAGGAAACAACTCAACATTTGTGCCACTAAAACCAAAGTCATATGTCCTTACAGTACATGGTAAAGCAGGAGAAGAAGAAGAAGAAGCTAAAAAAAACTACGAAGAAGAAGAAGAAGAGCAAGAAGAAGAAGAAGAAGAGCAACAAGAAGCAGACAAAAACAGGAGGTCTGAGGGCGTTGTTGTTCATGCTAAGCGATGTGGTTTAACTCAATAACTTGTCAGAATCCTTAGCCACACCGGAACGTAATCTAAACACCACTCGCGCATATCTGAAGAAATAACCCGTTCAACACATGGATGTGACAGGCAAAACACAGCTTTCAAGGTGTCACTTGTTAGACAAGTTTAACGAAGACAGAAGACAACGTAATTTTTGGTTTGGAATGCGAACGATGGTTAGAGAAGCACACAAAGAAAACATACTACAAACAACATACACGCAATCCTTCATCACGAACATGAAGCAAGACGCAAAGCAGCACATTATTCCCCAAACAGTGTGTCTACACCAAGGGGTTCTTACGGTAAGAGCAAAAGGCGCGGTGCTGGATCGAGGTGCTCGGGCTGGTCGGGCTGCCGACTTCGGTGTCTTTCGAAAGTACGCTCTCGCTGTGGTGCTGTGCGAATTCCGAAAGCGGCAGATTGGCGAACCCTCTGCGGACATTGGGTGTGTTGGATCGCTCTCGCTGTGGCGCGGTGCGATTTTTCAGAATCGAAATCAACCCTCTGCGGACTTCAGGTGTGTTCAATCCCTGTCGCTGTGGCGCGGTGTACATTGTGAACATTGAAAGTGAACCCTCTGCGGACCTTCGGGTGGATCGAATCGTTCTCGTTGTGTCGCGGTGGAATTGCTGCCGCACGTGTGCTCACAAAGGAGTGGAGGGCACCACCGCGCGGGGGGGGGCGGGGAAGGGCTCCACGCAGAGCGCCAATTGAAAAGGCTGCCTGCATTGGCGGGCAATAATATAAGCTTAGCTTGCATGCTTGGATGCCGTTTGTTTAGCAAAGCCGATCGAACAGCTTTCCATGCCGCGCTCGCTGTTTGGGGTCTCTTTCTGGGATCATTACAAAAGCAAATATAACAAAACAAACTCATCACCCAAAACCGAGCTACTCTAAACCAGATTCACAACACATGTCTTCCCAGCCAAAGAACGAAACAGGGGACAACACACCTTATTTTCTACCCTTATCCAACATAAGTGAACACAGAGTGAAAACATTCGCCTCCCACTGCCAGAGCCCTACCTCTGGCCAAAGCGTGCGCGAACAAACAAGGCTGGCACTTCAACGGCGGGTGTCGTTGCGTCACATTGCGCGCGACTCCATGCCACTTCCTGACACTTTATTCCGCTTCGTTCCACTTTGTGCGGCATGGAGTCGCAGGGAGTGGCATGGAGTGGCATGGAGTGGCATGGAGTGGCATGGAGTGGCAGGGAGTGGCATGGAGTGGCACGGAGTGGCACGGAGTGGCACGGAGTGGCATGGAGTTGCAGGGAGTGGCATGGAGTGGCATGGAGTGGCAAGGAGTGGCACGGAGTGGCAGGGGGTGGCATGGAGTGGCACGGAGTGGCACGGAGTGGCACGGAGTGGCAGGGAGTGGCATGGAGTGGCATGGAGTCGCAGGGAGTGGCATGGAGTGGCACGGAGTGGCACGGAGTGGCACGGAGTCGCAGGGAGTGGCACGGAGTGGCACGGTCGCAGGGAGTGGCATGGAGTGGCATGGAGTGGCATGGAGTGGCATGGAGTGGCATGGAGTGGCATGGAGTGGCAGGGAGTGGCACGGAGTCGCAGGGAGTGGCATGGAGTGGCACGGAGTGGCATGGAGTGGCACGGAGTGGCACGGAGTGGCACGGAGTGGCACGGAGTCGCAGGGAGTGGCATGGAGTGGCATGGAGTCGCAGGGGAGTTGCATGGAGTGGCATGGAGTGGCATGGAGTGGCATGGAGTGGCATGGAGTCGCAGGGAGTGGCACGGAGTGGCACGGAGTCGCAGGGAGTGGCATGGAGTGGCACGCAGTGGCACGGAGTCGCAGGGAGTGGCATGGAGTGGCACGGAGTGGCACGGAGTGGCACGGAGTCGCAGGGAGTGGCACACGGGCGCAGGGGCCACATGGCACCACAGTGGCAGTGTGGGGTGTGGCATGGGTCGGCATGTGGGGGTGGCATGGAGTGGCACACGCAGGGAGTGGCACGGAGTGGCACGGAGTGCAGGAGTGGCAGGGAGTGGCATGGAGTGGCATGGAGTCGCAGGGAGTGGCACGGAGTGGCACGGAGTCGCAGGGAGTGGCATGGAGTGGCACGGAGTGGCATGGAGTGGCACGGAGTCGCAGGGAGTGGCACGGAGTGGCACGGAGTCGCAGGGAGTGGCAGGGAGTGGCATGGAGTGGCATGTGGGTTGGAGCAGCATAAGGTGGCAAATTCATAATCCCGGATTGCACGCCTCCTGAGTTACTTTCAATTCCCGGGGTCCATATAGAAGGTTCGCTTCGTAGTCTGCAAGGTTGGTCCTATTGAGCAAGCTCTGTTTGTAAAAACCAAGCCCTTTTCACATAATGAGTTCCTATCCTTTTGCTTGTGGGGGAGTACCCGTGAATGAAAGGGCGCTCGAACGATGGTCGAGCCACGAAGGTACCAAAGAATAGAATCCCAAGATGTTGGGATTAATGCGGCCTTTGATGTTCCAGAACATCCATGAAAAAGGTTGCGAGTAAGGATGTCTGCGAGATAGCTCTGCACAAGCAAGGCTACGCTGCCGAAACTTTGCGCGGGCTAGCAAGAGCCGAAAAGAAGCCACAACCAAGCAAAAGGCAGCCCGCAGGTTGGGTCTTTGCAGGCAAACCCCAGCCAAGAAACAAGAAGCAAAGCGGAGCTGAGCGAAGGCGGAAGCCAAGGAACTAGATGCACAGAAGAGGAGGGCGCCGGGGACACAGTCGAAACAAGAGAATCCAGCAGAGCGGCCAACAGGAAGAATCTCGACGAATAGAGTATTTGGAACAAGAAGCGAATGGGGGCAAGAGCAGGAGTGCAAACACTGGGACGGACAAGACAACAAGCAAATATCAAGTAGCAGTAACATGTTGTGGGCTGTGATGAGCTTTTCATCCTTACTGCGGCGAGGCACTGCGTCTTCGGCCAGTGGTAAATGCTTTCCAGTCCCGCTTGAAGGGCAATGTTTTCCCGGAGACACTCACCACGCGAACATTCGCCAAATGGGTCAAACACACCGAGGGTGGAGTTGATCCATGAGGCTTCTTTAAGTTTTGATCTTCGAGCCATTTCATTGTGCCATTTAAAGAGCTGAATTTACAAGATGCTTCTTGGCCTGGCGGACCATACACTCACACAAGCTAGCAACCAGACAAGTATTGATTTTGCAGGAATGCACGAATGCATTGACGTTGGTGGTGCAGAATTGGCTGCCCGCTACCTTTTACATCCTTAATCTTTTGCACACGTCACTTTGTTGCTGCAGGCTTGTGAGGTGCATGTGGCGCGAATGGAGAGCTTGGAGAGAAGCATTGAGCGTTGGGACCTTATTGGCCTGAGTATATGCAGCGTATATGCATATTTCAATTTTCATATTTAGATATTTACATAGCTGCGTCGCGTTACAAGCGGGAGCAACTTCACTGCAAGGCCTGCAGACACAGGTTCTGTCAGAAGAGGAGAGCAAAGAAGGGTCCTCTTGGCGGCTTGGCACAGTCAATCGAGCAGCGCCCAATTTGGTGAGGGTTTCTACTCGATTTGATCAGGTCGTTTGAATCAAGAATCGATTGGCATTGGTGTTTGGCAGAAAGCGCAATAATCAAGGGCAATTTGACACATCATTGAAATCAGCACAACTGCGGAGAGTTGATGAAGCCAAGGCTTCCAGTCTTGATTGGGGCAGAGGGCGAGGTCCAACCTTTTCCGACACTATCAGCAGCAGAAGGAGCAGCGAGTGCGCGCAAGGCCAGGTGTGAACTAGCTGAAGCCGAGGGACAGAGAGTAACCATTTACAACCATGCTCAGGCAAAGCCAGCAGAACAGAAAGCGCGGCACGCAGTTTCGATTTGTGCCTTCTCCTGCCCCGTGCCATGACGCATGTGTTGCATGTCTTTGCTGTCCTCGAGGCAGAAGATGCTCCAGAGAAAGCTGAAGCTGATCCGAAGCCGAAGGCATGCCGTGGTGTTGTCATCTTGTGGTGTGGTAGGGCGCTTGCAGGCGAAGCCGAAGGACAAGAAGGCACTGTGTCTCTCAAACTGCTCAACGCTGGCTCCACAAATGAGGCAGCCAAAGACGCGACTCCGGCAGCTGCTCTTAGTTTGCCTTGCAAAGCCTAACTGCTGGAAAGTGGATGTAACTCCTGGGTTGAAATCATGCGTCGAGCTTGTTTGGTGTGCATTCTTGCTCGCCAAAATTGTAGAGACCTCCAAAACAGCGGTTCCTTCATAAGCTCCCGTCACAGCGCCATACTGCTTCCAGAATCAAAACATTATTGTGGCAGCGGGATGGGAAGCCTCCACATGTAGTAGTCCCTTTTTGAGGTCTCTGCAACTATACCTTGAGGGAATAGGACAGCACGCAGAAAGGCATGACATTATCACTTGTTGCCGAGGCATCATATGGCTACTCATATCCATATGGATTTGGCCTTACTGACAGTGACTTGCGACTTGAACACTTTGTGGCGGCTTGTCTCGGAAGTGATCGTCTTCTGTGAGGAATGCCATACATGGGCTTCCCTGGATATCCAGGCGTATCGGATTGCTAGTGGATCACATTTCCAAGCTTTGCTTGAACTAACAGCACAGGTTATGCTCCTCCTTATCCAGGCACGACACTGCTGCCACTGCTCAAGTGAAATTTCTGACAGCAGGCTATCCAGCCGCCACTTATCAGACCTATGCGCAAATGGCTGCAGCGCAGACCCGCGCACTTCAAGGCAAATCGAAAGGCAGGCGATGAAGAGACGCACGTGCTGCTGCGAGCCGCCCATGAGAGACTTGCTAGCTTCGTTTCTCAACGTGGTGGAAGGCCGAAAAGGAGGAGAGAAGGGTTACGGGCTTACAACTGAATCTGTCGAGATGTCATACAGCATCGCGCAATTGTGCATCACTGTCAGGTTTCTACCCAAATGTCCTGGATACTATGGCAGCAGCAGTGAACCTCAAGGACCCAGCCAGTCAGACACAGATCGTGGCTGTCGTGGCTGTTTCAGCCACGCAGGAAGGTGATGAGCAGCTCACTCCTGAAAGTCGAGAGAAGCTGAAGTGGGCCTGCTTACATGTGTCACACATGGATCACATCTTGTGGCAGGCATCAAGTTGAATTCTACTTCTCCACAAACAATCTGTGCAAGGACGTGTCATGCTCCGACTTGCTTGACACCTTAGACGTTGATTGCTCCAGGATCTCTTTCTGCGACAGCACATGGAACCCGATGGTTGGACTTCCCTTGAGCTGATCGCGCAGTTCCCCATGGCGCAGACCTCGGATCTCGAGCGCCTGTTGCTTTACACATGATTATTGTTGCATTGCGCAGGGTTTCCTTCTTTCAGGTGAGAAAGTTCAAAGTGTCAATCGCAACTTTGATCGAGGCTCAGCGTTGAACCGCAAAGCGTTGCGAAGCGTTGCATCAATTGAACATGATTGACTTGCACCGTTGCATGAGCCAGGTCCTTACGCAGTCAGACATGTTCGAAATCGACCAAGATGCCCGCAAATTGAGGCTGGCAGCTCTGAGACAGATTCAATCAGCACATGGATTACGCCATGACCTACATATGCACTTCCAGGTTGGCAGATGAGAAAGAAAGAAGGAAGTGGGCCCAAGCACCAGTTGCTTCCTCAGATTGCATTTGCTGCAGTTGTCATGGTCTCACTGTTGGAAGGCTTTTGACGGCCACATTTTATGACACTGTCGGCAACTGTCTGCAAGGTCCCCACGGAATACAAGACCCCAGCGTAGGGGCCTTGCACTAGCTTCTGTAGCTTCTGGCACGTTGTACAGCCGACAGACGCAGCTTCCTTGCCCGTACGGATGTCCATGCAGGGCGATCCTTCGGCTTCCCTAAAGAGCGAGGCAAAGCGAGTCTTCCATTATGCCAATGTCGCCCTGCGCATCGCAGTGTCCTGGTGCACGCCCAGGGCCTTTGAAGACTTGGTCTGTGCTATCTGTTTCAATTCTACACGAGCAATCAAGACCAAATCTTCAGAGAGCGCATGCGCCACGCGGTGGTTGCAATGCTGCGTGCAAAAAAGCCTCCTCTACATGATGTTCATATGTCCCCGTCGAAGGAGCCTCACGCGCTTCTTTGGCTACTTTTGGCCGGGCTGCAAACATAAAATCAGCTTTTCCTGGCCTGTGGTCAATGCAGCGCTCATTAGACAACTCAATCACAAGCTCTTGATTGTGGTTCATGCATAGCAACTTTTGTTGAAAAGCGGACAGCTACTGACTATGAGGGATAGTGTGTAGAACGGAGCTTTGAACAGGAGTACCTAATTGAGCGCGTAGCCTGATTGTATAGATTCAGCATGTTGCCATGCTGTGCAGTGGCAAACTTCCATTCAGCAGCCTTTCGTTGTAGCACATGGCCGACATGCTACCTAACAGTTTGCCCTGTGGCAGTGCTGAGCAGTGGCAACATGCAAATTCTGGGCAGACCGGTGTGAAGGATGTTTGCTTCTGAGGTACCATAGTGGTGATACGGCAGAGCGTGTATCAAGTTGCCAGATAGACACAAGTGAAGAGTTTGTTCAGGATAGCCGTGGTGTCGGGTGTGGCTGCCGGTCTGCCTGCCTCAGTTCGGCAATCTCCACGACATGAACGTGCTGGGATGCTGCTTTTCAAGGGCCCGGCGATCCGAGAGGCCACATTGAGCCTTGAGTTGGCAGTTGCCTGTGTCAAGGACCCATGTACGTAAACGGTTTTATCCATTTTGCATTCCGAATTTAGTCTGGTTTACTTGCTTTGATGTACATCATGACTTCAACCTGACCTCGTGGCTGTCCTTGCATCTTGCCGAGTCACCCATTTGGTTGGTTGATTTGCGCAGAGGCAATAGACAGCTTGTCCAAAGCCGCACTTGGAGCCTAAAGCAGCTGATTGCCCAGCTGCTTCAACGCTTCCAAAACATATGCGTTGGATGCAGAGAGAAATGGCCTGGGCTGCAGTACCTTATGAGGTTTAGCTGGCAATGCAAGCAAACACGCAGCGGGCCACATGCCGATGCTCAGCAATTTGCAAGAAGCATGCCTCCAATGATGTTCCAACAATTAGTTGATCAAAGCCCGACTTGGCAAGATACAAGTCCAACGAGAAGAGACATCTCATAACAATTGGTGAAGCTCACAGAAGTTCGAGATGCTGACAATATCTCCAGGCCCTGCCTACTTGACTGTTGCACAAGCAAGACGTTTAGCGACGGTTTGCAAGGCTGCGCGGTGCAACCGACACCTTGCGTGCAGAGGCCTTCCTGCCAACACGCCGTTGCCAGGTGTGTGTTTCCTAGTAGAGTCAATCCTCAGTGAAATCATGTATAAGGTGTGTCCAAGCCTGAAGTAGAACAAAGTACGACTTGGTGAGATGTCATGCTCTTGGCAAGTTTGATATTGCACCCTCGAAGCCACAGCTTGCATCAATGCCTGCACGCAATGCCGGTGGACTATAGTCCAGACTGACTGAACTTTATTGGCACATACTTGATGCCAGGCAGACACCCAGACCAAGCACACCAGGCAGAGGTGTTGCAAGCTCGGGTACTCCTCAAGAAGTGCTCACGTGGTGCTAGCAAAGAAAGCCACTGCTTGAATGGTGTGAGGTGCAATTTGTTGCCTCCGTGGCTTGTTCTGCGTTAGCATGGGCAAGGCCTGATTGAGCCAAACAGTCTCCTCTCTCTTTCTCTCTCTCGTACACAGACATTCATATTCGTGTCGCACAGCAGCTTATAGTCAGCTCATTGGGCTGCGCGCAGCGACTGGGCACTTCCCTGCAGGTGCATCTCAAGCTGTGGCCGAGGTTCCCATTTTAAGTGCAGCTTGGCAGAACAGTGCCGTGTGCCAAAGGTGCCCACTACTGGTTCTCAGGCGTAGCGAGACGTGCTACTAGGGAGGCCTGGAAAGCTTTCATGGGGCTTGTATCTTGCCTTGTGCAGCCTCAGGCACCTCCCCGTCCGCCAAGAGAAGATCCAACACCTTTTCCTCGTGAACCGATCTTTCCACCTGAACCATTGCTTGACGCCCAGAATGTCACAGAAATGCACATTTCAGGCTAAGTAGTTTGCTTTGCCGAGTCTTTTGCTTTGCCGAGTCTTTGGCTGCCTTGCGTGTATATATATATATATATATACATATATATATATATATATATGTATGTGCGCGCGCGTGTGTTTGTGTTTGTGTTTGTGTTTGTGTTTGTGTTTGTGTGTGTGTGTGTGTGTCTGTGCGTGTCTGTGTGTGTGTGCGTGTGCGTGCGTGCGTGCGTGCGTGCGTGCGTGCGTGCGTGTGTGTGTGTGTGTGTGTGTGTGTGTGTGTGTGTGTGTGTGTGTGTGTGTGTGTGTGTGTGTCTGTGTGTGTGTGTGTTCTGGATTTGCGGGATGTAGGTAATGTAATACAGGTAATGTAACACAATGTATTGTTATGGCCATGTTATACAATGTAATAGAACATGATGCGTTGTAATGAAAATCACGAGATGCGATGTATGTACAGTTTGTGTCTCTGCATGCATGCATGCATCCACGCGTGTATGTATCATATGTATATATGTATATATATATATATATCAACATATATATACAAAAATAAGTATATAATGTAGTGTACTGTAATGTAGAAGCGTAGTGTGATGTGATGTAGCATAGTGTAGCATAATGTACCGTAATACAATGTAATGTAATGCAATGCTTCTCTCATTTCAATGTAATGCAATGCAACGTAATGTATTATACTTCTATGTGACGTACTGCGATATCCATATGTGCGATACGGGGAGTTGTACATTGCTCACAGCGAAGCAGGTGCTTATGATGTGGCAGCTCAATTGTTTTAACACTGCTGCGTATTGCCGGTGGCTCAAGGCCTCTAGCCAAAATGCAACATGTGCATGCGTTCCCAAGTTTCTGCAGCAATCCAAGATTCCTCTTGGATACAGGCCTAGGTGTACACGAGTGCTTGCAGTTCTCTGTTTTGTGCTGAAGAGCACCACGACCAGCTTTCTTGCCTTTGCGCCTGATGTGAAGGTCATAGCGCAATTTCCAAATGAAGTTCCGCAGGAGCTGCATCAAGCCTTGTCTCAGGAGCGGGGCTTCTTGGCGAGAACATCTGAAAGACTCCAAACCGAGCTTGGCTTCGCCATCATTCAACTGATCACGAAGTCGGAAGGCCTGAAGTGCTGACCCAAAAGAGAGCACAGATCCTTTTGATTTTGTCAGCGCGCCGAAGCCGCGCTTGGAAGCGGCGCCAATCAAGTCTTGACTTTATGCTTCGTGATGCGGTTAGTGTCTTCCAAGAGTTCCTTGCCGATGGGACGCGAAGCCGTGCTGGAGGAAGCTGCCGAGGTCAGGGTTTCTGATCTTTCTTGATGAGGTGTTGAAACTCCTGGCTGTGGCGAGATCACCTTTGTCGTTGATCTGAGAGAGCAAGAGGTTGCTGCGCTTGAAGCTGCGAAAGCTTCGCAGTCCATTGTAAAGCGCCAAGACTAGCGCGACATGCGCTGAGCTCTGCTTATGTCAGAGGGGTGTCATCTCCCTTCTTTTGAAGGCGATGAGGATCCATGTAAGATCGGGGATGCCCTCGGTGTATTAGTTCCGGTCAACGTCAACCTCAATGAAGCGCTCGTTGCCAGTTTGTGGATGGAACGTTATGTCTAGGCCGCGGCGTCGAAACTGGTTGACCTTGGTGCTACCCTATTTGTAGGCTTTGTCGATCTGGCATCTGATCTCCAGTCATCGTAGCTGTGAAGACCCAGAGGGCGCATGGCCAGCGAGTCGATGATCGCCCATGCTCTTCCACCTTTTGTCTACGTCTGCCCAAAGTCCGCAGGGGGCAGTCGCATTCCCGTACAACTTTGCCAGGGCGCGAAGACTTGATGCGCCGAGTGCGTCGTTCAGCTCTCTGGATTCTTCTGTTTTGCCGGGCTTATAAGCTGCGACGCAAAAAGGAGAGGTTGGGAGTCAACTGGTGTGGCGCTGTGGCGCAAAAGATGGGTGCTGATGTCCCAAAACCACGGTTCTTTCTTGGGCCTTCTTCGTGCCGGTCTTGTCGTGGATGGTAACCGGATTGCTGCAGTGATCCTTGACGGGCTCTTCACGGGATTCCTCCGTGACTCCCTTCCACACCAAAACCCAACGTGAGCGAAGAGCTCGGCCAGAACATGGTTCTTCTTGTTCTGCTTACGTGAAACATCTGCGAAAACGTTGAGCTTTCGATGCTCACCTCGGCACCTTTCAGTTGCTACCCAGATGATCATGATGTAGCCATCTTCAGCCTGCTTGATGATTCGCGGGGGTTCATTCCGAGAGAACCGTCGAAACCGAGATCATCTTCGTGTTCGCAGGGTGCGTTTGGTTTCAGGCCCAGACTTGTCTTTGTCGTCAAGCGGAGTTGTCGAGGCCACTTGTGATCTTCGCGAAGGCAATCTCGTCGGAGCAGAGTTCCAAGCCCACCCATAGGTTCAGCTCAATGGCGGCAACCTGACGGTCGTAATGGCGGGATTGCTGCAGCTGTTGTGACGGGCTTGGCAGGAGTTTTTCCCCACCCGCAGGACCCCTGGTCTTGCAAACAAACAAGCCGCAGGACAGGTAGCGTGTCGGGCAGTTGTCGCGGTAGGGCTTGTTCTTGGTTGGTGGCTTCATGAACTGCGTGTTCTCGTCGCAATGAGTGCAGGCTGCGTCGAAAGAGCTGCGCTTCTGCGGTGGCCCAGTGCCTTTGCGTTTTGTAGTCTTTGTCACTGTGGGCAGGTGTGTGTTCAAGCGAATCCAGCAAGCCTTGACTGTTGGCTTGGCGCTAAGTCTTGTAGAAGGTCAGAGAGACAGAGGTAGGAACTTGCGTCGAATCACCACCAGTTCTAAGCAGAAACCACGGATCGCCAAAAGACATCTTTTTGCGACTGATGTCGCAACCTGTCGCAGTGACAACTTGCAGAGGAACGCGTCGGCGAAGCCCGAGCTCAATCTGTAGTCAGAAAGGATCACCAGCGAGACGCGTCTCCTTGACTGGCTGTGTTCCACGCCCCGCGAGGCCATGTGCCCGCGACTCAACAGCCAACTGGTTGCCGTGCCCGCGAGAAGCTGTACTTCCCGTGCGGCAGCATCACTGCCAAGCTGGTCCCAGTGCTTGGAACTGATGCAGGTGTTGTCCAGAGAGAGATCAACCAGCGTTCAGGAACCAGTCTCGAGCGGTAGGATTTCGCATAGAGACCCTTGAGTCGCCGTAGAGGCACGCCCGGAGGCGGAGGTGGTTGTAGAAGACTTGATCGTTGGTGAGCGTGGCGCCGTATCGACAACCGTCGACCTTGCAAACGTAGACTTCTTGACCCAAGCTGTTCACGAAGAGGCTCTTGAAGTGGGCGAGGTTCTTTCCATCCTCGGAGTCGACGAGGTTCTCCGACTAGAGCTCGCTCTCTGGATGTGACTCAGGTTTTTCAGAAGAAACTTGGTGAGCTACTTGTGCGTGGGCTTCTCTTGCAACGTTTGCGAAGAAGATCGCCCCAGCGGTCCTTGTAGTGGAGCTTGGTCCAATCGCAGAAGAGGGTGCACGGGGTGCTGACCCAACACTGCTCTGCGCGCTTCCCATTCAGCAGCGACATCAATGAATATGATTCTGCTTTGAAGTGTCACGCATGGTAGCGTATATCTTGGCAGGTATCGCCCGGCCCTGCTGGCAAGAAGACACCCAAACCAAACTGCCGAACAAGCCGCGTGTCCTGATGCTGCGCGTGTCACGAAATATGTGTGACACCTCAGTCGTCTGCTGGAGCTTTTCAGCGCAGATGAGCCAGATGCGGAGGACGATTTAGCCGCTATGTGTTGGTGGGACGGGCACGTCGCAGCGGCCAATGCCGTTTCAAAAGCTTTTACAGAGCGTGTTCTTCGGCACTTGTGCAACGGATTGCAAGAAAGTAGAGGAGTTGGACTGTAGATGGGCTGTGGTAGTCGATCCTTAGGCCACTGGCATTGGAGGTCTTATTGGGCATGCAATATGGCAATTTCTGAAATCCGGACTCGCTTACACTCGTCAGCTGGCGCGAGCACCATTGGCAACTGGCTCAGACTGCTAGTTGTCAAAACTGTCTGGTTGGCGTGGTATGTAATTGGACGGGCGGGGAAGACTATGTTTTTCACATCAATGCAGACTGCTCTATTCGAAGCCACGAAGCAATCATGCGTAGTTCCGCATTTGAAGGATTTTAGGAACGTGGCCTCATGCCTGTTACATCGTCGACTTGCTTGAGGGTATGTATATTCTGTCAGGAGGGCATAGTGCGAAGAATCTGGCAAAAAGAGGCCGCACAGCAATTCTCGATTATGTGTTTGCGTGTGGTGTTGAGCGCGTTTTGTATGCTGTTGGCACGAAACTCATTTCCATCCACATGCTGCATCTCGCGTTCCATTCATGACGAGTCGGTAGACGCATGTGCTTTTCCTCCATGCTGTCAGCGTTCTAGTGAAATTGTTATCGATTCCAGGCGTCACACTGCGCCCTGACATGATTTCCAGAGCTTGTGAAGCTGATGCATGGTTGTGAAGTTGTCATTTGCAGTTCTCCCAGCTCCGGTTGCTCTTCACGCGTATACGGGGGGAAAAACAAAAACGCTACACAAGGTGGTACAAAACACATCGGCCAGGATGTTGAGAACATCATTGGGTTGGGATCATGTTTGCCTGCTTTTATGGACGCAGACCGAACACGGGATGGCTGAACAACGTTTGTCGCTGCCAAGCAGGCAAACCCGATTCATTGCAATTGTTTTCTTTCCTGCTTTACGCACAAAACAAGTGGTGTCATCTTCCTCGCAGGATTTGATCGATGCCTTGGAAGACTTCCAGGAGTTGCACGAGACAGACAGGCTGGTCAGATCCCAACGGGCCCAGTGCGTGTGCTGAATTGTGCTAGCACCTGGCTTTGAGCTCAGCTCGGTGCTGCGCAGAAATTTTGCCTCAAGATTTCCCTCCTTGCTTGCAGTTTTGCAGTCTGCATTTTGTGAGAGCATTGGCGCCACAGCATATAAGCTCATATAAACTAAGCAAGAGTTAGACACACTCCATGACTGCCATGGTCAATTCGGTTTCGCCGCCACGAATCCGAAAGTTGACCAGAGCAGGCCTGCCTTTTGGTACGGATTTGTTGCGTGGGTATGCAAGACGGCCATCGAGTCAGGCAACTATTTGAAGGGAATCCTTGACCCGTTAATTCTGCCCACGGTTGACAGCTATCCGCAGCTGACCTGTGGCTGCGAGCTGAGCTGCTCTTGTCAAAGTTTTTCGTGCCAGCTTACCAACCTGTCTGTTCCAGAGTTGCCTGTGCCGGCGAGGAATTCTCATAGCTCTGCACATTGTCTTCATTCTTCTTGCAGGCCCTAGGCCAATACACGTATCACGACCAGTGTGCTTCCTGACATCCAGGCCTGATGCTGCATATCTTGTGGCCAGCGGGATGCCAAGGGGCTTTCCTGCAGCCGATTTATGATGGAGCCGCATCCTCAGCAAGCAGAGCTGAAGGGAACATGGCATGAGAGCATGAGAGCAAGGCAAAGACCCTGCCTGGCGCAGCATCTCCACTCTTCTTTCTCATGCCGTTTGTCGCGACGCATGCACCTGGGTGGAACTCTCTCCGCCTTGTCGTGGCAGTCGGGTGGTTTTGATGTCTTTCATTGGCAAGGTGATTACGTGCTCAGTGTACCTAACATTGGATTGGTGCAGGCACGTCTCGAGAGGTGTCAAGCATCAATTTTTAAGCTGCCAGGCCATCCTGGGTTCAGAACAGGATGGTTGTTGCGAGAGAAGCTGGCGACTGGGGAGGCTCAGGGCGGGCGGCCAGTGGAAATACTCAAAGCCATCATATTCACCCTCCAATCGTCGACAACCGAGCCAGATGGCACATTTTTTTGGTTTGTGGATATGTTTCGCGCGGACAATCACTACCCCATTACGGTTTCTGTCTTTAGCTCACGCAGGCGAGCTTGGGCTGGTGCGGACTCTTCGATCACAACTTGGTGCCCTGGCCCTGGGCCGTTGAAAACGTGGTGACCCTCTGTGACTCTCATTCGACTCTGTGATCCTGTCTCCTGAGGTTGCACCTTTCACGGCAGCCTTGGTCATGCTGATGCTAGTGAGGCAGGGCTTTCACGCAAGAGCTGATCCGTAGGGGAGACAAATCATGTTTGGCGAGGAAGGGACCTGTGCCCTACACAAGTCCTTGGGTGGCCACCTGGCAGCATTTGGCTTTCTGATGTAGAGCGCTCATGTGCCTGTGAGAGCCAGCAGAGGTGAGTTGCTTCAGTGACTGTGACTTACAGCTCCCGAAGAATGCTCCTTCTGTCGCTGAACTCATGGCTCGCTGCTCAGTAAGTCCAAGCGCATTTGAGATGAGAATGGTTCGGCCAGGAGACTGCACTCAGGTTCACCTTGCCTTCTGCTTGGTAGTTAGCGATGCAGCCTATGGCTATGTCCATTGGCAGATGCATCGCCACAGGGCGCTCTGGAAGCATATTCACTCTATCCACCACGAGTACAAGCAGACTTTCGTGACAGTGCCTCGAATGACATCTTCGAGAGCTCCTTGGCGCGGGAGCGGCTCGAATTGAGGTCGGGCCCCACGTCCACTTCATGGAATTTCTGACGGTCTTTACATTCTCTATTGCTGCGCCTGCTGCTTGTGGAGCTCATCCCTTCACATGCTGGGTGAGCCAGACTTGCACTGGAGGGGAAACAGATTTCACTCAACTGCAGCCAAGCCGCAGCCTAGGTCTGGTCCAGCCTCTACACACTGATATCTCTCGAGGTCTGGCTTCCAGCCAAATGAAGCCTGTCCTCATGCTTCATGCTTGCAGAAGAGAGAGAGAGAGAGAGAGAGCGAGAGAGAGAGAGAGAGACAGAGAGAGAGAGAGAGAGACAGAGAGAGAGAGAGAGAGAGAGAGAAGAGGAGCGCCCTGTGGATCATGCAAAAAGACAGGCGCACACTGGCTGGCACCAAACTCCATTTGGGTGGTTGATGAATATGATCACGATGGGCCAATTCGGAGGGAGCTTGCTGCATGGATGCATCTATCCTCGTGAAGCTGATTTTCGCAAGCTTTTCACACGCCTTCAGGCACCACCACCTGCACCATGCCATTGTTTGGGGCAACTATGCACCGTTTCTGACCTACTTGGACAAGTTGGTCGGCACAGAAGTTGCCAATTCAAATGAGGCTGGACGTTGGGCAGGTGTCCAATTTGCTGCTTTGCGTAGGGAAGAATGCGGAAATACGGCACTGGCTCAAGGTGGCTTGAACTCAGGGTAGATATCGGCTCATCGCATGTCTAAGACAACGAACATGAGTACCTCGGCTCCTAGATTGGTACAAGAGGACACCATGATGCTCTCCTACGTTGGTAGGAGGGGCCGGCTTAGGAGAGTTGAAGCTTGAGAGTGCACGCATTTTGCTCGTGCGTGCTTACTCTTCTCTAGTCCTTTGTCAGAGAGCTGTCAGCTCGTCGCCGAGCCGCTAGAGTCCTTTCGAAGCTTCCTTTGATGAAGCAGATGTTTTAGGTAAAGTAAAGATGCGTAACATGCAGTTTGGGTCAAAGGGAGTCAGGTAGCAGACCTTTTGGTTCGGGAAGCACTGTGGCGGGTGCTCTGGGTAAGGGACTAGAGAGAGGAAGAACGTGTCTAGTTGACTTCTTGGGCAAAGAAATGTTACACAGCTGATTTCGGTCAGGTGGCTCTTTTTTGGGTAAAGGAAAGCTATGTTGTAGACACTTTGGTAGCAGCATGTTCTGGGTAAAGGGCAGTTACGTAGCAGACTTTCGGGACAAAACTCCGTGTGACTGATTTTGTTGGTAACGGAACGGCATGTAGCGGGCGCTTTGGGTAAAACGTACGTAGCAAAGGACAGTTTCGCTGCAGACATTTTGGGTCAGGGCAAGTTATGTGAAGTGCCTTTGTGGGTGCAGGAAGAAAGTGTGGCCGACCTTCGAGTAGAATATATGTAATACAGTATAAACGCAGTGGGCAGAGGAACGTTACGCAGCAGACATTATTTTGTTGTAGCAGAGGGAAAGTCAATGAAGCAGCCGTTGTGGGTAAAGTTCTGTAACATACAGAGGTATGCGAGTGCGTTCGCTAAAGGAGGTATGAAGCGCATGCTTTGTGTATCAGACTCGTTCGGGAAAGAACAGTTATGTGGCAAACGTTCTGAATAGAGGAAGCTACGCAGCAGACGGTTTGGACATGCAAGGACAAGCTTTTGCAGAGCCACCGGGTAGATATAGACCACGGCTGAACACAAGCCGACTTTTCCGGGTTCCGAGACTGCTTGGGAAATGTGCTTGCAGTCCAAGTGTTGAATAAAGTCTCTTAACGCGACGAGCGACCGGAGTTGATGTGAGCCCTTATCTTCAAACCGTTTTGTTTAGTCTCTGCAAGCTTGCCGGGCGGGCCGGGCTAGCCCTTACCATCCACGCGGTCGGTCAACGGCTCTCTAGAGCAAACAAGGGCTTAGCTCCTACCGCATCGTGCGTACTCCCAATCAACAGTTGTACTGAGCGTGTTGAGGGCGCTGCGTACCAAGGGAGAGCTACTGAAAAGCTTGAAACAAACACCTGAGGTGACTTTTCCGACAAACGCTGAAGCCGTGAAACCACGAAGCCGCGAAACGTTCACTTTCGAGTTTTCCCTGACCGGGCTGTGCTTTGTAGTTTTGAGCTGAAGCTTTGAGGTTTTGAGGCTTCGCGGCTTTAAAGCGCCGACGCCGGCTGGCTTTGAGGTTTCGAGGCTTTTGAGGCGCAGCCAACAGCAGGCTTCGAATGCCCCCCCTTTGCGAACACACTTCCCTGCGCTCGCGTCAAGGGTCAGAAATAGGTTTAACTTAGCTGAATCGATTTGTGGCTTGCAGCAACACCTTGCTGTTGGCTTCCTCTTCAGCAAGCCGGACACATGTGCCGGACAGCCTACACACGTACCATATCGTCTCTTTGCATTGCTTGATATTTCCATTTTCTCGAGCCGGTTCAGACGGCTCTCTTTTGCGGTTTTTGAAGCTGCCCTTTAAGAAGACTTTGTGCGGCTTTGAACCTTTGCTCGGACATCTGCGTCATGAAGCAACAAGCTTGCTTTGTCACTGCCGGAAGGTGTGCATGCCGGAGTTCACTGGCGACGCCCACAGTCAACTTACGGCCAGCCTGCATTCAAGCACAGAGCATTTCTTTTTAAATTGTAAAGGACGGCTCGCAAACAACATTCTCTTTGCTCAAATGCAACAAACACAGCGCTGCAGCCGTACTTGCGTAAAGCACACGTTGGAGCGGTGATTCATTGCAGGCCAAAGAGCTGGGACAGAAGACTGTGGGGAGATCAGGGTACAAGGCTGGGGTTCGTCTAACAGCCTCTCTGCCATCGCTACGCTTGCCAGGTGTCTGGGAAGAAGTCGCGAGCTGCAACACCCCCACCAAAGAAGGCCCCTTAAGCAGTGGCGATGTATTTATGTTGCACATGGTTGTGTGGGTTTCCCAGGCGGACAGCATTGCTGGTTGAGCAGCTGAGCAGCCTGTGGGTGAAAAGATGCGACATATATGCGGCATGCAAGCTTACATGGAGCCAACCATTTTGAACAAGTTGGTTATGTTTTGCGTTTGGCGTGCCCTTCTGCAAGGCATTGGGGGCGATTTCCAAGCCACGTTGCGGATTGCGGGTGGCACACTCGAGCAGCTGCTCTTTTTTCTTCAGCGCTGCAGCGCCCAGGAAGATTGCCTACAATAAGGGCCAGCTTCAAATCGTTCAAGGCGGCTTGGTTCCGTGTTGGCAGGTCCGCTGTCAGCTTTACGAAGCCTGTGGTGCCTGATTGGTGTCTGATTTTGACAGGAGCCACACTTCCGGCTCAAGCCTCCTCAAGTAAACACGCTCATCTGAACGGAACACTTTCTCCACATGCCTGTTTGTAAAGGACAAAGTTGACTTGAGAGAGACTTTCCTAGCAGCCACTTGATCTGAAGCTGCCATACACAAGAATCATGATTTGCACGGGCTTGAAGAGCAGCATGTCCTAGAGAGACTCCATGCATGACCCCCTGCGTGGGGCTCAGAGACAGGGAGATCCTGGCAATTGACTTGGAGTAGCTGCCTTTGTTTCTGCATTCCGACTTGATTGACTTGAAGCAATCTGTGTCTTTGGTGATTTGCAACTCGAGAATTACAACGCACGCATCGGCCGAGTCAGGTGATGCCAGCCTCCCATTGGGAGGAAACCATGGTCACACCAGCATCGTCAAGGCTTGAAAGATTCCCCCAAAGCCGTGCAGATTAGAGCTTTTGCAGGCCCGAAGGGAGTGACCTTTCCCACAGACTTGCCGGAGCCCCGACGACAACAATTGGCCCGGGAGCACTGCGGGAGCACGCAATGTGCCAGGCGGAGCTTCGAGAACAACTGCAGAACTCCGCGCTGTATCGGCCCGGGCAAAGCAAAGGCTCGATCCCGGGACTCAGCTCGCTCTCTCGAATCCTCGCGTCTCAGGAGCCCGACCTGAGCCTCGACCGGAGCACTATGAGCGTGATCGCCGCCGGGAGCGGCACCACTTCGATGCCTATGATCGCTTTGATCGCGCTTTGTCAGAATTGGCATTTGCTTTGGAGTCTCTTGAATTGTCCCGCTCCTTTGCTTCCCTTGCTTGCTTGCTTTCTGGAAGGTCGCATTGCCGGAAATGGTGCTCGCATCTCAAAGCGCAATCTCCAGAAGCAAACGCAAGAACTCACTTTGAGACCCAGGTTTCGCCTCGCATTCACAGCTCTCGCCGGCATCGGCGCAATACTGAGAAATATGAGTCTAGCAGTCTCCAACAGCTAAGCGGACCTTTTGCAGCTTTCGTACAGGTCACGCAGGTCAGACTCTGAAGGCCGCAGAGAGGCCCAGATTTCTTGTGCAAGTGAGGCTCAGGAAGTATGGCCTGCATGCACATGTCTGGCAGGGAAGGCGGTCACGAAGAAGAAGAAGAAGAAGTGCTTTCACCCTGTGCGGTGCTTTGCAAATTGACAAAGCAACAGGTCCTTGCATGGTCTTGACATTGCGAAGCTGAGGCAGGAAATCTCTGACATGGCCAGGGCGGGCGGGGCCACAGCCTCTGGTCGGCATTCTCGCAGAGATAGCTGGCCGGTTTCTCAGTTGCCGCAGAAGCGTACTCGGCACAAAGTGTCGACAGGCTATTGAAACACGGAAGGCCATTGGGTCTTGGCATGCGTGCATACAGGGCAGTAGCCAAGTGAGGCCTGTGCGTGGTTGCAGCTTGAGTTGTGTTGCCGTGTCGCCTCTACTCGTTCGACTTGCAGGGTTGTGTGTGTATGTGTGTGCGAGGTTCAAGTAAAGAATCCTTAGTTGCTGCAAAACTTTGCCTCCGCTCCAGTTGATGAGCAATCACTTTATAGGCGTGGTGTGCCGGGCATGACGACTGCATCGCTTGCCTGCTTGGGCTTAAGGACCCCTACGTCACTCAGCAAGGTTAGTCCATTCGGCTTGTACGATATACAAGCACTTGGCTAGGGCGGGATTATAGGGCCGCATGGCCACTTGCGGTGTTCCGCAAACTTTCCGGGTGTCAAACAAACTAGTGTAAGATCCGGACTCGAGATGCCACCTGACAGCAATCATGTGCAAGGCCATCACGGCCTTGGCAAGCGCAGCCAGAGACAGGATTTGAACAAGGGTTGTTGGGGCTGCTCTGTACTCTAGCGCAGGTCGCCGATCCATAACCTGACAGTTTTGATCAAACATGCAATCAATCCAATCCTTTCTGCATGGTTGTGAAAGCTAGGCCAAGGCCAGTTCGGGCAATGATTCAAAACGCAAAGGCTGGCTCTCAGACTCGGATGGAACGCTTTTACAATGTTGCCTGTTTCCAAGGGGGCCTGTGTGACTATGATCCCTAGTGCACACCAGTTTGATCTGAACCACTTTGATCGCTTGCAGTTGCAGTCGCCGCTGTGGGTCCAAAAAAACATGGGCGCATTGTGCACCGGCCGCACAACCAACACAACACGCCCAGCAACCTTCCCGAACCGATTGCCCCCGCAACAGATGCTCGAGCACCCAGCTGAGGCGTTGGACCTGGGACACAAAAAAGGCTCGGCCAATGTCAAGCTGTGACTTTGGAGAGAATATTGTGACAGGCGCCAGTCTTCACAGTGCCTGAGGAGATGTTAATTTCGCCTATCCTGAGATGATGTACGTCTTGGCTTTGGCTCCTATCCTGAAGCCCTGCTGATCACTGCAGGACGACGCTGCATCACAGCGACGCTCCGCCACTGCCCCAGAGGACAATCCGCCACGAAAGCATGGGCATGTGTGAAAGTAATGGGACGGTTCTCGAACAAAAGAAGAGGCAGCCACTTTTGGCCCCCTTTCACAGCTAGGTCTATTGTTTAAATGAGACAGATTAGCTTCCTCCTTGGAGCCGCGGCTTTGCCGGGGATGAGGAGCTCTGGCGAGAATTGTTATACAATCGCTCCAAGTTTCTTCCCATCTCGTTCAACAAAAGAGGCATACAATACCAAGAACATTTATCAGAAATATGAATGTTGGAAAACGAAAAGGGATTCTTTATATACTTGTAGCTTTGGGTAGACTCCCTTGTTAGCAAGCAAGTCGCCGTGCTTGCTGCCAGGCTCGTTGGGAACAGCCGCAACGACATTTTCGAGCATCACGCAGATGCCTTGGCTCTTTGCTGTTGCAATGCTGCGAATTGGAATCAGTTCATGTGCAAAATGAAGAATGCACTTCTGAGGAAGCCGCAGTCAGAGGCGCCATCAGGCCAGTTGCGGTCCCTGAACTTGTGGATTTGCACATTTCGCATCACTTCGGCATGTCACACGGGGCCAATAGGATGAAGAGACGGAGGCCTGGCACCAAGATTTCATTTCCCAGACTGGACATCGATCGCTTTCCAGCCGAGGAGGATGTGGAGGAAATAGCTCGCAGGGGTCAGGACTGCTTCCGAAATTGCGTTTACATAAATTCAAGCTCAAGTGTTCTTGCATTTTACATTCTCGAGCCACTTGACTACACTATCCTAATGCACGTTAAAAGGCTGATTGCATTTGAGCTTTCTGGGGTGAGGCAGAAGGCACAGTCGACCCTTCTAGGGCAGCCTTGCTTCTACAACCTGCAGACGTTTGGCTTTTCAATTTGCAAGCTGCGCATATGTGTGTATTGACACTGTATGCAGCGTATCTGGAAAGAGCAACAGTCAACAACCAAGACACCATGTCAACATGACAGATGTTCAGACACAAAATGCCTACGGCACCACCACGTCATTGCACGCACTCCACGCCAACACGACCAACTTCTCATGACACAACTCCTTTTGGAGATGAAAGGCCAGTTTGCCCTTGTCTTCACAGAAGCCCTACCATAAGCAGCTGTAGCATGGGCTTTGGAGCTGCCTGGTTGATCCTGCTGGCGTCGCGGGCCATTGGCCGTCATGAGGGCCTGGAAAGGAGGCTGAGTGCTGCCCGAAAGCGTGGCCTGAAAGGCTACGATCTCATAGACGAGCTGGACGTGTGGTATGGGTCCAACTCCCCGGAGTTTCGGGGACCTCACAATCAGCTGGATTTCATCGGCAACAGAGATGGCAGAGTAACACTGAAGGACTGGAAGGCAGCTGGCTTGCCTGCTGATCACTTCCACTATTTTGACACGAATCATGATGGGGTGATGGATGTGGATGAAGCGCATTCTTGGCACCAACAACGGCAGCCTGCAAGAACCATGAACCTTTCAGAAGTGCATGACCCTCCCAAGGGACATTTGCAGCGCATGGGCTCCTGGAAGCCGCCACTACCAAGTGAAGACCTTATATACAGAAAGCCCTATCCTCATCCCAGAGACTTCTGGGGCAAGCACATGGATGGCTATTTGCCGGCAAATCTGAAAGGCGCACAACTTGGATGGCCTGCAATGAACTGGACGAAAGAGGAGTTAGCAAAGCGCTTCGGGTGGGTTGATGCCAAGTTGGAGCCTAAGGCATTTTGGCCGGTAAAAGTCCATGCTCAATTTCCGTGGCAAGACTTGGGTGACCCGAAGAAAGCTAAAGGAATTGGACAATTCTATTGGCTTGAAATTCTGTTGGCTTGGTCCAGGTAGAAGGCCGCGGCAACGATACAGCCTATGCTGATTTGGATCGATTGGCGTCCTCTCACCGGCTTAACATCTCTGAATATTTGCGGCTTGAGGAGGGGGTCCGAAGTGACTTGTTGGACATGTCGTGCATTGCGCTCAAGACTTGCATATATGTGTGCCAATATTTGCATTTTTTGTTTCTGAGCCTTTGACAATTTGACCAGCCTGAGGAGGGGAAGAACATGTATGTTGTCTCCATTATCCCTCAGGCAATGGCCTGGGAGGTTGCTCATCCAGCTGTGCTGCTTTGTGGATCGCGGCGAAATCAGCTCAACAAGGACTCTAAGCCTCCGTACAGAACCAAGAAACACGAGTATCCTCACGAGAAGGGCTTCGACTGGATGACGCACGTGTTTGAGGCCAACTTGTGGATTGCGACAGGCTACACGCGGTCTCAGTTTCACTACGATAAGGAGTGGAATGTGAATTGTCTTCTGTCCGGAAAAAAGAGGTGGATTTTTGTTGATCCGCTGCTCGGCCTTGGTGCTTTGAATGATTCTGCTTGTCAAAGAACTATTTTGCCTCAAGGGGTAAAACGCCGGCATGTAGACCGCTTGATGCCTCTTGACACCTAAGGTTTAAGTACGATTCAGAGCTTCAATGGTCCAGAGGCCG